AAATAACTACACATGGATTTGAAGAATTTTTTAAAAAATGAATGCATATTTTAGTTCTGATTTTCCACAAACTTTTTGAAGTCTACTCATACAAATTATGATGACAGTACTTTTTCTTCCTTTTCTTTTTCTTTTTTTTATTATTGCTGTAGGGCACATGTACTCACTGAATAGAGACAAGGAGAGAAAAAGAGACAGAAGAAAAATGAGACATCACCACCCAGTGGGGATGGCCATACCACAATCCCCCTCTCCTCCATTCTTCCCCTTCAGATCCTGGGCATGCATGTAAACATGGTCACCATGTCTCTTAAGCTACTGGGTCAGGGACTCAAACTGCATTCAGCCATGGGGATCCAGCTGCCCCAACCACCACACTGCTGGCTAGTCCAACTGTACTTAAAGTCTCTTAAAGTTTTGTTTTGTTTTGAAACTTAATTTTTTTGAGAACATAATTCTCTTTATGGCTTTATTCAAGTGTATTTTCCCTGGTGCTGCCCTCTCCAGGTCTCCACTGAGCTCTTAAATGTCTGAGTTCCCAGACTCGGCAGCAGCCCCTGACCTATCCTGTCTATCTCTGCCATCAGCCTGGGTCATGAATCCCCAAATCAGGGATGCATATAAAAGTATAATCCTTTCCTTCAGTAGACTCACAGTCCAGGGAGCAGGCCAACAAGAAAGCAATTACATCACCCATTTTTATAGGGTGCAATGAGGAAATAGGCCTAGAGAGATCATTTTTCTGCCTTACAGAAATAGAACAGGTTTTAAGAAAATCCTACTTGATCAGAAGCCTGACGGATGTTTGCCCTTCTTGATCATTTCATGTCCTTATCTGTCTTGTTCTGTGCCTCAGGTTTGTGTTCATGGGTTCCCTGGGCTCCTGGTGACTTCCGGGAGGAGAGGAGGAGAGTATGGCTGGGCATTCAGACCTGGGTACCCTACAATGCAGTCCCCAGATTATTCCCCAACCCTTTCCACACCTGAGTTCCAGTCCCCTACCAATCATCCCTTTCATTACTCAGCTGTGGTAGATGAGACACGAGCAGGACGCATCAGAGGCGAATCAGAGAAATGAGCCTACTCAGTAGTGGGGGAGTTTAGCAACAGAGTCTGACTGTTTCTAAAATTTTAAGCAATTCCATTTGATTGGAACACAACACAACAGGACATGGGGTATGAGCAAATGCATGACGAGTGGGGAGGGATAGAACTGGTAAGGTGTGTGTGAACCAAATCACTGAAGGGAGGGAGACTTTCCAAACAGGCAAAGAACAAACTGCAGGGTGAACAAGAAGGGCACACCTCCAGGCACCAACCATGGAAAAAGGGAGAGATAGGCTAACTCAGGTCTCTGCCATTTTACCACTTACATATGGTGAAGTTCGTGTTGATGAAGCAGACTATGTCATTGCATGGAAAAATGGTTTAACGAAACTCCGTTGTGTGGCTTTTCACACCCCTAGGTTTTTGCCATAGGGCACATGCCAGAGAGAGACAGAGAGTGGCAAAGTGGAAAATCACTCCCCCAAGGAAGATGGCCATACCACAATTCCTTTTCCTCCATTCACTTTCTAGGATTTGGGGCACAAATGCACACATGCCTGGCATAATTTTCAAACCACCTGATCCAGGACTCAAACCACAGTTGGCTATGTGGGAATCCAGTGCCTTAGCTACCATTACACATGCTGGCCCCTGCTGTATCATCTTTATGACATCTTGCTCAGTACAACTGCAGGCCATGTCAACAGTGCACCTGAAAAATACTAGGAAAAGGCAGCAAACAATTGTCAAATGTAAGATCACTGCAGGGGTCCGGACAGTGGTACAGCTGTAACACAACCCTCTGCAAGGCTGGCCCACAGAACGTTCCAAGTTCATTTGTGGAGACCTTCCTGAGTGTACGGGGCACAGTGCACCCAAGAGCCAGGGCTGGCCAAAGCTGGGGTGACTCCTGGTGCAAAGATCCTGCTGGGGGTTTCTTATCTCTCAGAGGAAAGAAATAAATACACTTGTCAATTTTAAATAAGATGACAATTTTGTTACTATTCAATGCATATAGTGAATTCCTATATTCTGTAGAAAAGGAACTAATCTTTGTATAAATAAATAAATAAATAAATAAGCACTTATTATTCTCCCCATCAAATATATGTTGAATAAGCTGTAGAAAAAGTAGATGTGAGGAGCTGCCAAATTACTTGCAGAAGCGGGGCACTTATATGTCCCAAGTCTTGTTAAAAGAAAAGGAAATTCACTGGAATGTTTTTAAAAATGGGTTAAAAAGAATAAAACTTAAATTTTAGAAAGATGGTATAGGTCACTGAGAATGCTTTGGACTTGGATAGGTTGATGAGGACATAGATTTGGGGCAGGCAGGAGGCTATCATTATCCTAACAAATGGTGCCCAGACCAGGAATAGTGTGAAAATCAAGTCAACATGGAGCTTGGACACCAAAGAGACAGCTGATGGAATCCATGACAACTGGCTGCAAGAGTCCCAGGACATTCCAGCCTTCTAGCCTGAGCAACTGGGGAATTTTATGCCATTCTCTGAGTCAGAGGCCAAAGCAAGGTTGGAGCTCTTGCACACCAAACACTAAGGGAGCAACCAAAAACGCAACTAACACATGCAAACATGCTTACACACGCATGTGTCCAGTATGAGTTTTAAACCGCATGGTCCAGGACTTCAATCATGGTTGACTACGTGAGAGTCCAGTGACATAGCCATTATGCCATTTGCTGGTCCCTGTCATTCCATTTTAGATATCACCCATCAAAAAAGGGAAAATACAACTGAATTTAGGGCTCCTTAAAATGTGGGATTAAAGATTGAATACGGCACTGGCTCCAGTGAAATAAAGGCAAGTGGGACAAAGATGCAAAACAGGAAATATCTGGTAGAGGCCTTAGGGCTGTAGGTGATGCAGGTGGGATAGCCTGTTGACAAGAAAGGCGAAGTCAGCTTTGTTGTAGAGAATAACAAATCCCCAAAGCACTGAATACAATATGCAGCTGCAGAACTGAAGGCAAACAAAGACATTTTTTCATTCTTATTCTTCTGGCGCATAAGAAACTCAACAGGAACTCAAGACAGAGGATGTGCAATTCTTCCTACTGGCAACATGAGTAATTTTTCACTAAAATTTTTATTTATATATGTTATACAATAGACATCGTAGAGAGGGAAAGGAGGGAGAGGATGTAGGTTACGTGTTTTAAGTTGACTTGTTTCCTTGGGAAGAGAAACAACTTTTAACTCCAGATTGTGGTTACAATCTTGTGTTTTGTTTCACAAAACACTGTTCTCTTAAACATCCTTTAAACCTTAGTAGAGAAAATATGGGAAGAAGAGTTAAGTCTAGGAAAGAAGATATGCATTCTTAACCCAACAGCCTTGCTCCAGTCAGCACACATGCCCTCTCAAACAATTTTTTAAAAAGAAGAAAGAAAGATGATAATTCACCTAGGGCAGAGTTTTGGTCAAAATTCACAATGATGAAATAGCCTAGCAGAGTCAGCTGATAATAAGCATTGAACATCTATTACTTATAAACCTCTGTAACAGGCAAAGACATAAAAGCATAGACAGCAATCATGTGGGAATCTATGAACAAGTTTTTCAGTCTGCTCTATCTCAAACCCTCTGTGCAGCACGATCATCTCTTTGATTCTCTGCTACTGGTTTTCTTTACCTGTATTTGCAGTAAATAATCTCTGAGGTACCTTACAATTTCAACATCTCTTTGACACAAGGCTCTGCATGATATATATCTTTTTTCTTTCTTTTTAGAGAGGTTTATGCTATAAGGCACATGCACTCACCAGAAAGACAAAGAGAGACAAAAAGCAAGAAATCACCCTCCAGAAGGGTGGCCACACCACAATCCCTTCTCCTTCATTCTCCCCTTGGGATCTTGGGCATGCATACACATGCACCCAGCATGAGTTTAAGCCACCAGGCCCGGGGCTTGAAACATGGTCAACTACATGGGAGTCCAGCACCATAGCCATTAGGCCAACTGCTGGTCCCCTGCATGATATATAAAGAAAAATCATAAAGAAGGTGACTATGGGCCAGTCAGGTGGCATGGTGGTTAAGGTGGCTGGACCCACATGACTAGCTGTGTGATTTGAGGCCTAGACCTGGCAGCTTGAAAAACATGCCAGCATGTTTGCATATATGCCAAAAATCCCGAGAAGAGAATGAAGGAGAAAGGATTGTGGCATGGCCTTCCCCATTGGGGAGTACTCTCTCTCTCTCTCTCTCTTACTCTCTGTCTCTCTCCAGGGAGTGCACACATCCTACAGCAAATTAAAAAATATATATATAAAAGAAAAGTGACCAGTATACCTACTTACTTTCAAGAAGCTACAGTTTCTAATTAAAGACAGATGGTATCATATATACATATACACACATGCACACACATGTATTATGCAAACTTTATGCACAGACAGCATATTTTGTATGGCTGGTTTCTCACAAGCAATAGAAATGGTAAAATTACTAGATTTTCTGCCTCTGTAAATACCTAATGTATCACATACATGGTATGTTTTTGAGATGAGGATTTAGCCTCTGGACTATACCAACATTAGTATATGGCTGTGCTTCATTCTCTACAAGATATCAAGTGCCATCTAACTGCTTCATACTGTGGTAAAGTGTATGGAAAGAGTCCTACACAAACCCAGACAGAAAGTTCAGGGTGGGTTGGAACAGGGAGACATCACAAAAGAATAAGAATGACTTACTGTGCAGAATTTTTTAAAAAAATAAAAATCAGATAGGTAAAGAATGAAAGACTAGGATGGATGAGGTTCATGCTTCAGAAAGGAGCAGCCATCACAAATAGCTAAGCAGCTGGCAAATCCAAGATATGCTCAGAAATCAATGTAGGTGGGGAGATTCAGACATTCAGATAGATGAAAATTTGAAAATCATATTGGAAAAGAGTTGAAGCAAGATAGCAGAGGGTGTTGAAAATACCTTTTAACAAGGCTGCTGGCAGTGGGAACCACTGAAAGACTCTTCATAAAAGAATGGCATGATGAGAATCAGGATCCAGGAGTGTGACTGGGATGTCAAGCATCGGTACTTCTGTGGAGCATCTTCTGGCATGGGTACTGTGTTGGGTCCTTAGGGCACAATCACAGCACCAATTTTCACTCTGGCTTCATTTCACTTCAGGCCTTTTTCCTCACTGTTATGAAAATTAGCCATCTTCAACTACCTGGAAGGAATGATAAGGGGGAAGTAGATGTTTTGAAAGTTTTCTTAAATCTTTACATATTTTTCAATATTGTTATTTAGCTCAAACATCTACAGTGAAAATTGGCATGAAATGTATTTACTTTAAATCATGGAATGAATTTTAAAATATGCAATATCTCATTTGTGTTAAATTGTTGTATTACTGATATCAACAAAGAGTAGCACTACACTGGAAAGATTATGAATAAATAAACTCTCATTTCCCTTAGGAAGAGACATGAGCTAATGGTCATGAATTAGCCTGGAATTTAATAAGCACATTTGGTCACATTGACTTCCCTTTGGTGAGTGTGTGCCAAAGTCACTAGGAAATCTTTTTAAATTATCTTTATAATGATATTCAAATGTTGCTAACTCATAAAGGGGAAAGAAAATCCACAAGGTTGTTGTGACTACCATACCGAGTTACCACATATTGGGACCTGATATCCACAATCAAGTTGTCTACAGCCACCTTTCTTCTGAAGCCTCTCCTAAGGGGCTTGTCTCTTCTAGCTTCTGATAGTTGCCAGCACATCCTGGTATCCCCTGGCATGTGGCTGTATCACTCCATTTTCTGTCTCTGTGGTCATATGTATCTTTGTACCTTCTACAGCATTCTTATAAGGATATCAGCCATCTCTGTAAGATCCCATCCTGATCCAGTAAGACCCAACTCACTATATCTCTAAAGGTCCTGTTTCCAAATAAGGTCATATTCTGAGGTCATGGGTTGATATGCATTGTAGATGGACACTATTTAATCCAATATTGTAAGAAAAATGCATTTCTGTGCTTGCTTTGGCAGTGCATATATTAAAATTGGAATGATACAGAGAAGACTAATATGGCCCCTGTGCAAGATTGACATGCAAATTTGTGAAGCATTCCCTATTTTGTAAACTATGTTCCAGATAAGGGACTGATAAACAGAATACACAGGGAATTCAAGCAGCTTTCTCAAAAATAAAAGATGATGATGAACCCAATTAAAAGATCAGAGAATGAGTTGAAAAACCACCCTCTAAGGAAGGCATATGACATAGAAAAGGCATATGAAAAAATGCTCAACATCCCTCCTTACAAGAGAGATGCAGAATCAAAACCACAACGAGATATCACCTAACCCTAGTCAGAATGACTAAGATGAAAAAAAAAAGATGATAAGTGCTGTCAGATGGGTGTGGTGAAAGAACTCTACCCTGCTGGTGGAAATGTAAATTGGTCCAGCCATTGTGGAGAACAATATGGAGATTCCTCAAAGATCTACAAATAGAACTAGCATATGATCCAGCAATCCCACTCCTTGGAATTATCCCAAAGGACAGAAGAATGCTTAGTTGGAAAAGAGCTTGCACATCAATGTTTATTGTGGTGTTATTCACAATTGCAATGATGTGGAACCAACCCAAATGTCCACCAACAGAGAAATGGATTGAAAAAAAGTGTGGATGATATACTCTATGGAATACTACTTGGGCATGAAAAACAATAAGACCCTGGCTTTTGACCGAAAGTGGATAAATATGAAAGATTTACTGCTGGGTGAAGCAAGCCAGGCTATGAAGGAGAGACATTGTATGTCTCTACCTAATATAAACTGTCTACATTCTATGACCAAAATTGAAAGACTAGAGGATACAGAAACATAGAAAATGGTTATAGATACCAGATACAGTGTGGGAAGAGGGTGGGAGAAGGCGGAGAGTCTGAGGAAAGATATTAAGGAAAAAAATAGAGAGGCAAGACATTTATGGGACAAAGAAATGGGTTATTATCTGTTGAAGATAATGTGTACAGTATTCCTAACTGGACTGGTGAAAAATCTATTAATGTTGGAACATTCACTTTACAAGCTAAGTAACATATGTAATTGAATGTATAAAAGAAATTGAAATAAAAATATTAAAAAAAGAAAAATGCACTTTTAGGTCTTTGTCTAGACACTACATTTATTTATTCATAGTCCACTTGCCTTTGTAGCCTGGTTTTCAGACTCTCGTGTACAAATTAGATACATATTTGTACATATCAGCACCTCTTGGAGGAACCAAGACAGTCTCAGGGAACTCGGGATAGTTCAGGATAGTCAATAGAGCACACCCAGTGTGTTTATGAGTTGGCTTTTAGTAGCTCATGGGAGTCAAACATGACATCTTTTCCCACCTCAATGCTCAGAGACATCACTGGTAGCTCATGTTGACCATGGTGAAAATATTTACACCATGGAAATTGGCAAATGCCACAATTCAGGACTTTTAAAATTTGTTTCTGGATAGCTAGTTTAGCAGCACAGCCTTAGACATGCCCAATAGTTGTGACCACCTTCCTCTTCCACAGGAGGACTTTTTAGCTCCTCTCCTTCCTAGTCAACTGTGGTGGTCATTACAGGCAAATTCAGCTCACAATCAAGTGGAAGGGAATTAGCTTTACCTCCTAAAGGCAGGAAGATCAATAACATATGTTGAAACTACCACAATATTTAGAAAACATTTGTGAAGAAATCTTCGAGGCTATGCAAATGACCAGTTTCTCCGTAAAGACTTGCCCATTCATTTGTTACTCTGCAAGGTTCTTGGCCTACAGCATTATCTCTGTTGTTCCGATAATGATTTTTCTATTTCCTTCATTTTTTCCATATTTGTTATATAGAATTCTTCTATATGAAATATTTGTCTTTTCTCCTCATTTACTTATTCATTTGTTATATATTTTAAAAATATATTTTAACTTTGCAATAGTAAGCTAATATACACACAAGTTATAAGCTATAGTGCACATGAGTGTTACACACTGGAGAATACCAAATGGACTTAGGCTGACATATCAGTATGTTAACATATTTTTGTTTTAACTACTGGTCAGAGTAAGTCTTTTTTTTTTTTTTACTTTAATTTCTATGTTAAGCTCTTTAAGCAAGACATTGATTAGGAAAGCTATAGATTTTCTCTGGGTGTATGTACATGTGTGCATGTGTGTGTCTGTGTGCTAATTAAGCTGATCATGCCCACTATACGATAGAGTAAGTAACTACTTATCCAGATTAATAAGAACTTCGTTAAGTTAAATGTAAACACAACACATTGGATACAAAATCTAGAGGCTAAGGTTGATGTAAGACTATGCTCATCATCTATAAACCCTGTTTTCAATGAAAGAAAAGGAGTGAGGGAAGGAAAGAAGAAAAATGTTTTTTGTCTTATCTGTGCTTCTTATATTGGAATACTATGTAAGTGCTCACAGAAGAAAAGGGTTCTGTTATGGTTTGAATGCGTCTTCCAAATAGCTCACGTGTTGAAATTCGATTGTGATGGTATAAGGATGGTGGAAACATAATCTGACTGTAGAATTAATAGGTGGAGCTTGGGAGGTGATTAGGATTAGATAAAGTCATCAGCATGAGGCCCCCATGATTGAATCTGGTGACTTTATGAGAGAGAGAGACACAGAGACAGATTCAGACACGGGCACATGAGCTCTTGTCCTCTCACCATGTGATGCTCTGTGTTGCCTCTAGATTCTGCAGAGTCCCCATCAGGGAGAAGACCTCCAACAGATGCAGACCATTGACCCTGAACTTCAACAGTGAGTTAAGAAAATCTCTATTTTTTTTTTTTTTTTGGAGAGATTTTCATTATAGGGTGCGTGCGCTCGCCAGACAGACAGAGAGAGACAGAGAGACAGAAAGCGAGAAATCACCCCCCAGGGGGGATGGTCACACCACAATCCCTTCTCCTCCATTCTCCTCTAGGGATCTTGGGCACGCATGCACACACGCCCAGCGTGAGCTTTAAGCCACTGGGTCCGGGACTCGAACTGCGTTCGACTACATGGGAGTCCAGCGACATAGCCATTATGCTAACTGCTGGTCCCAAGAAAATCTCTATTTTTTAAGAATTATTTTATTTAACTTTATTTATTGATTTTAATTTGACCAGAATGAGAGAGACATGGGGGTGGTGGGGCGGGGAGTTAGAAAGCAAGCCACCAGGTCTGTGTCTCAAACCACGGTAGACTATGTGGGAATCCAGTGCCCTTAACCACCATGCCACCTATGTCCCCAAGAAAATCTCTACTTTTTTTTTTTTTTTAATAAGTTACTCAGTGTGGTTTTTAGCTGTCAGTGACAGAAAAATAGACTAAAACAAGTTGCATAGCAAGAACATATTTTAATACCATGGAACTGCCCCATCCAATATCCCTAATGGAACATTTATTTACTTGTTTTTGCACATCCTTGCTGAGATCCCAGTATTTTATTCTACCTTAATTGCTTCTCAATATGTCACTCTTCAGAACTGAAATTTCTCAGTTTTCTAAACGTCTATTGTTATGCTTGGACCAATCAATTTCCAAGCTTCACAAACCTCTTTCATTTGCTACTCCGAACATTTCTGAGAAATAATAATTAAAATAAAACTTGAACAAAGTACACTTGCTATGAGTGAGCAGTCTTTGTACTTGTGCCTGGTGCTTTCTCTCTGTGTTATGCAAAGGTAGACCATGTTTTCAAGAGTATTCCCCATAACACTAAAACTTAATAAAAACAAGTTATCTAGATAATTTTAAGCAATTTACCAGAATCCAAATTTAGGCATAAATGTTCCTCTGAAAAATATAAAACGTAGAAATTATTAAAACAAACTTCTCTTTTATATAATGTATTTAAAATGAATTTTCTACATATTTGGCAAGAGTCTCTCAGAGGATGCAACAGTTACTAAAAACAGATTTACAGAAAACTATGTGTAGTAACCAATTTGACTTTTAGTAATTACTTAATTTCCATATAGGCAGAATTTTTTTTTTTTGAGAGGTTTTTGCTATAGGGCACGTGCGCTCGCCAGACAGACAGAGAGAGACATAGAGACAGAAAGCGAGAAATCACCCCCCAGGGAGGATGGTCACGCCGCAATCCCTTCTCCTCCATTCTCCTCTCGGGATCTTGGGCATGCACGCACACGCGCCTGGCCTGAGTTTTAAGCCACTGGGTCCAGGACGTGAACTGCGGTCGACTACGTGGGAGTCCAGCAACATAGCCATTACACTAACTGCTGGTTCCCTAGGCAGAATTATTTTTAAAAAGACTAAAATTAGTGAGTTATTTATGGACTCCCTAAAATTAATATGAATATTTCTTTTGACTTGATTTTTTAAATGAAATTTCATGTTTTCTTTGCTTCTTAGAGATAGAAGACAATAGTATTGTTTAGTGCAGGTTAAATGTTTTAATAGCTTATGGACGTTTTGATTTAAAAAGATGGGGTCAGACAGTGGTGCAGTAGTAAAAAAAAAACAAAAACACAGGAAAACAAGGCTTGTCCACATAGAAGTTTCTGGGTTCTGGGTTTGCATCCAAAGACCTCACTGAAAACACCGGGCATATACTTGTCCATGATATCAGGCTGGCTGAGGCTGGGAGTAGATTGTAGCACTGAGACTGTTGTGGGTGCCATCTCACTAACTCTCTCTCACTCATGAAAGAATAAATTACTAACTTTTTTAAAAATACAATACTGGGACCAGCAGATGGTATAAAGTTTACATCGCTGGACTCCCACGTAGTTGACCACAGTTCAAGTCCTGGACCAGTGACTTAAACCTCATGACAGGCGTGTGGGCATGCATACCCAAAATCCTGAGAGGAGAATAGAGGAGAAGGAATTGCAGCATATCTATCCTCCCAGGGCTGATTTCTCATTTTCTGTCTCTCTGTCTCTCTAGTGAGTACATGCATCCTATAGCAAAAATATCTCTCTAAAAGAGAAAAGAAAAAAAATACAATACCAAAGGCATTTTTATTCTAAAATTGGAAAGTCAGAATTCAAACAGTTATAAAACTAAGAAGACATTTTACATGCTGAATTTTCATTAGCTATCAAAACTTGCTTCATTTTTT